AGACAAATTCCTGGGCCATCTTTTTTTATACTTTTTTTCTTTTTACCCCCTGGCCTACAGAGAGGGTGGGGGGGGGGGGGGGGTGCTGTGTGTGGTAGTCTGCTCTTACAGCAGAATGCACACACTCCTGTAGAGACTCATTCTTTTTCTTCACTCTTTTCACTTTTCTTGTTGAGAAATTCAGGGCTGCATAGTTCACTGCCTCTGCATCACAATCCTGCAAATAATAAATGTCTATTAATACATAATTTATTGATTAGAACTCTAAAATTAAGAATTATCTGATCATCTGCTACAAATAGTACTCTTATCAAAGACTATGTGTAGCAATTGTAGAAGTTATCTGTCAGGTATTAAAAATACTAAATACTGCAGAGTGTCATTTTACTATGTACGTTTTTTTGGCAGCCTAATACGTTTTATCATTTTTAATAAATCTGTCAACTATGTGAAACAGAATAAATAAAATATTTTGCAATTACATTATGAGCAAAGAATTAAAATGCACACAGGACTAAAGAGTGAATTAAAGACATTAGATAAGCCTGGGGAGTCAAAAGACATAAATGATTGTAACATTGAACATTGAAAACTAGGATGGTTTTTGCCTCTCAATTTGGTGTCAGGTGTCAAAGATAAAAGCATATTTACCAGCTCAGTTGATTGATCCATTGTCAACTTGTCATATACAGGGTTACGGTAGGCAGGATTTACTTCTGCTGATAAAAGCAAAAGCTTTAGAAAGTGTGTCTAAAACTTTTTTCAATGTTAAAAGACCTCACACTTTCGGATGCGTTAATGAAGAGGCTAAAACCCATGGGCACTAGCAGTCGCCAGTACGTGTCTTTAGGCGTCGGGGAGTGAGATTTGCTGACTGCACAGCTATCTGGCTTCCATTACAAATGCAGTCTATTTATTCCATCTTTACCATAAAACCGTAGTTAGTTGTTAGTTTGCAGAACTTACATTTACATGCAAAAACGTAGGGTGAGCTCATAAAATCTATAATTATTAAAATAATAATTAAATTACAGTATTTCGTTGTTTACAATGCAGTTTGTTTAAAGGGTGATAAAGATTAGATTCTCTCCCCTGCATACAGAACATTACTTTAAGTAAACATTAGCCTGTGGTGTTTAAATAATTATGTGGCATTTCCACTTTAACAGATGTTGATGTAAAGTAATGCAAGTAAATGTTGTCCCAAAGAAGACCCATGAATGGACGTTTAGAAAAACCCATATATCTTTAGGCTTAAACCAATAAATTACTACCTATACTAGCTTAATAAGGACAAAACTTATTCAGTGGTTCATAATTGCAAGTGTAGGCGACACAAATGACATTTTGTAGGTTAGTGTTTAGACAAAGTGTATAAACACTTCACAAAAAAATCCATGTACATTTCAGGAACCTACCATTGCAATGTTCACAAACTCTTCTTTGATTTACACAGAAAATAAGGACAACAATCACAATCACACAGCAGACCAACAGTACCCCAAGCACAATGACAACAGGGTCCGGTTCTGGTCTTGGAATTACAAAAATGCAAAAGAGACACACAATACCTCATTCATGTTTGTTAATTTCAATGAATACCTGGAGCAATATTTAGCAATAACTTATACCCAAATTGTTGTAATACTAAATTGTTATTGGCTGTTTAAGATACTGTCATGAAAAAATACTTCTACTCTGATTAACATTTAAAATCTGAGATCTGTGATCCTCTCTGACTTAAAGATGCAATTTGAAGGGGAACTTATGCACAGATAAGATTTTTAGAAAAAGATATTTATCCATAAATATATGCAGAGTAGTAACAATGAATTATTGATATATGTTATACTTTTTTGCCTGGCTTAATGTAAAACTTAAAACAAAGTATTGAAATAGTTGTTAAAAGTATGTTCAAACTTTATAAGTGTAGTACACTATGCTATGATATATCTAAATGTCTGTCATGAAAGGACAATTGGGTTTTAATCAAATAACATAACATTTTTCATCAAATTAGGGCTGCAGCTAATGATGATTTTAGTCCTCGAAGCTTCTATAGATTATTTCAACAATTCATCGATGCATCGTTTAAGAAGTACTTCTGCTTGACGGTGGCGGCAGCGCGCGCCAAGTAACAGGATCAGCTGTGCACATTTACAGGTCCTTTTGGAAATTCATAGTGTGTCATACAGCAAACATCAGACCAACAACAAGACAGCTGCTTCACCAACACAAACATCACCCGAGTGCTATACAAGTTATACTAAAGGCTCGTGCAGACTACACAACTTTCAGCGTCAGCCAATGGCCGTGCTTTTCACACAGAGCATACAGAGCTTGCCGTCTTGTGACGGGAGTCTGGAAGTCATTGTGACTGATCGTTGACAGGGGGTAAAACACTACACGAGCTGACAGCAGCACCCGACGCTGATCTCCAAACCACGTTTAATCAAGAAAACACACTGAAATGTGAAACGGGAAATGAGCGATCCTACACAAAAAAATAACTTGTTTGTTATTATAAAGATACCAATTATAAAGACAAATAATATGTGTGAAAAGATGGATTAGTACACACGGGTAGCAGGGATTGTCTGAGCTACAGAGAGAGCTGGAGGTGAGTAAAGAGGTGCAGCTCCCCAACACCCAGTTAAAGAATGACTGTAAGGTTACAATTCACGGACTAAAAAGGAGAACAACAAACGCACGTGTGTACATTTTCGGCTGAGGACTGCGGCTTACTTTGGCTAGCCTTCAACTCAACAATCAACCAGGATTTCAGTTAATTGCTAAAGTTGCTGTTACTGTTACCTTGTCTGTGGTTCACTAGCAGATCACCGGGTGCTTTCTGATTACTCGCTGTCATGCTGTTGCAAGTTTGTGCTGTACGGTGGTTTTGTTTTACGATGCAAAGAATTTGCGTCGATGCATTTTAGTAATTGATTTAATCGATGAATCGTTTCAGCCCCAGATCAAATCTCACCAGTTCACAAACGAACATAAAGAATTTAAAATACATACTTTTCTCTACTTTGGTTCCTTCACTAAACAGGATCTCTCCACATGTGACCACAGCACAGTAGTATGTCCCAGCATCAGAAGAGTTCTGTATAGTTTTCGACAGACTGTAGACACAACTTCCTTCTTCTTGTTCATCACTGCTGTTCTTGTTACTGTAAATTATGCTTGGATGGGATTCTCCTGAACCAGCTCTGAACCAGTAAACACAGTGTTCCCCTGGGCACTGATCTGTGTTTCCTTTGTTCTTGGAGAGAAGTGAACACTTAAGTGTCACTGAGCCTCCCGGCTGGACTGATGCTGTCTCTGGAGTTTGTTTCACATTGACAGATTTCTGCTGATTACGATCTGTGTGATTCCGTTAAAAAAGTCATCAAAATCACTTAACAATCTCAGTTATTTGTATGGCTGCAAAACTTGGGGGTGAATGTCAGGGCTTTATGGAAAGTAACTTACCATTCACAGCCAAGAAGGTTCCATTAACAAAACTCCGTGAATACGCTGTTCCGCTTTGACAGAAGTATGTTGCTTCATCCTCTTTGATGACATTTCTAATGGTAAGTGAATACTGAGTCTGCCCCTGTATGACTTTGAACCGTGGGTTGTTAAATTGTCCACTAAGTGTTTGTCGGATATGAGTTCCTGTTGCAACTAATTGGACCATAAAACCAAGAGACTGCTTATACCAGTGAAAGAATATGCCTTCCCTATCAGAAACTGGACAGTGCAAAGTAACATTCCCACCAACTTCAACCACAGTCAAAGAGAATGGGCGAGGATCATCTGCACTTTGAATCAGGTCTAAAGAGACAAAAACAAACGAAAATCATAAAAAATGGAAAGTACCTACCATCAGAAAGGTTATTGCATTGCCTTTTCTTTTAACAACGCTTTAAAACATGTCAGTATAAATAATTATTATTTAAAGTTGCACTTACACACTGTACCAAGAAGAATCAAAGCAGACAGTCTTTTGGTCATTGTGGTAAAACAGCCTTCTCAAGCACAATTGATGCCTTCCTACCTAAATGAAGGTTTAGTCACAAGATCATCAAAGTCTACAAAGTGGAAATCAATCTGATTGGCTGAAACAAAGAAAATGCACTTCCTTCCTAAATTAAGCATATCCATGATGCATTTTTACCAACTCTTTGATGTGCACGCATTGTTTATTGTTGCTTTTACAGTTACTACTATTACTATTATAACAAGTTAATTGTGATTCAGATTCAGCTACTGTACATGCTGTCTTTCACTTTTTCTGTGTGTTGTCCCCAGTTTTAATGTGATATAGACTCAGCTGTACCCACCTCTGATGTTGTCTTTTCTTGAATTTGAGACTTTAACCTTGTGAACACGTTTGTGTACAACCTAATAAGACTTCTAAAAGAGTCTGAGTGTAAGAGCCTGTATTTTTAAGGGCTTTTATACTGGGTTAGCAATACAATTTATTATGTAAGCATCAAAATGACTTACAGGTCAGCTGTTACTGTGATGTAGAGACAGAGCTCAGATAAAACTTTATGGATGAAAGATACATTTGTTACAAATTAATTAGGGCTGAAACGATTCATCGATTAATTTGATTACTAAAAAGCATCGCCACTACAACTTCTCCCAATTGCAGGTGAAAGATAACGAAGAAGCAGGAAGCTCTTTATGTTGTAAGTACACAGTGTCATGTTTCAGATTGTTACATTGACTGGGGAAGAGCACTTTCCCTTTCAACAGAATTGCAACATTCACCAGAACTGGCAGATCCCCATTGGTGCCCCGTTCTCCCTTCACAGATAAGTGCAGGTTCAAGAGTCTGGAGATGCCGCACTGAACATTATGGTGCCTGCAACATCACCAGGATGACCAGTTTGGCGAAGCATCAGTGATTGTCTGGGGAGACGTGTCCTTGGAGGGTCACACACAGTTGATAGCCCAAGTTACCCTGACTGCTGTTAGGTACCAGGAGGAGCCATTGTCAGATCTTACGCTGGTACAGTGGTCATGGGTTCCTCCTGGTGCAGGACAATGCCCTGCCTCATGTGGCCAGAGTGTGTAAGCAGTTCCTGGATGACAAAGGCATTGAGACCACTGACTGCCCCTCACATTCCTCAGACCTGAATCTAATTGAGAACCTCTGGGACGTTATCTATCTGTGCTTCCAAGGCTGCCAAGAAGCACCACAGACTTTCCAGGAGCTCACTGATGTCCTCGGACACCATTTGCCATCTCATCAGTAGCATGCCCAGTTGTTGGGAGTGCATACATGCACATGGAGGCCAAACACACTACTGAGTCACAGTATGAGCTGACAGTCATGCAAGCGGCCTGTGATAAAAAATTTTTACTTTGATTTTCAGTGTTATTTTGAATCCAGCCCTGAATCAGTTGGTGATTTTGGTTTCCATTGTCTGTTGTTACATCATTTTTATTTAAAATTATACATTGTACAGTAAAGATTTTGAACTTTGAACTATTTCATTTATCAAGATGTCATGTGTGATTTAAGTGTTGACTATTTTGAGCAGTATATATAGGTGGAACCAGTAACTGAGTAGTATTGTGACCGTCATTCCATGAGTTTCACTATATTATCACATGATAAAACTAAATGTGTGTCCAAAATCCTGCACCTGAAACTAAAATTTTCCTGTAAGCTTTTTAAAATTAATAATAACAATAATTAATATTCCCTTTGCCTTGGTGGAAAGGTTGAAGATCAGTGTTCAAAATGGTAGTAATGGAAAGAGAGAGAAATGTTTTTGTAGCATCATCTAATTTTGTCAAATCAGAATGCACAGATATCAAATAATCCTGTTTCATGGCTAATCATTGATATTCAAGGCCACGCCGTGGACACGCCCTTTGACAAAAACTCACTGCATCTTTGGAGGTTCACTTCCAGCTGCCAGCTGGTGGTGCTATGAGGTTGAGTGAATATTGGTCCTGTAGATGTGTTCAGGGCATGACCCTTGTCAACCATGTGAAATTTAGGACAGCTACGACTATGTACGGTGAAGTTACATCAACTTACTGTTTCATGGCGAAGCATCGAACTTTGCTGGCACACCACAGACACGCCGTGGCCCGAAAACTCACAATCTTCTCAACCAGGGTTGGAAGGGTTACTTTGAAAATTTAATCCGGTACAATTACTAATTACTTATTTAAATGTAATCAGTAATGTAATCCAAGTTCACAAAATAAAAGTAATTTAGCTTTTGGATTACTTCAAAGCCAAATAGGCAAATGAAGACAAGAGAAATATCAATGATGTGTTTTCTGCTCGGTGTATTTTTAGAGAAACACAGAATAGCAAAATCTCCTATTCCCAAAATCCGTGTTTAAATGTTTTTATATGATATGCTTTGCACTATGTAACCACTATGGCAGTATCTCGCCCATAAATGACAAAACATTGTTTTGTAGGTATTCCTGATGATATTTAAGTTTGTCATTTGGAAAACCATTTGACTGGGAGATCGGAGCACCAGGGCAGTGTTAGTGTTTACCAGAGACTGTAACGTTATAAAGGTGTTTAAGTTACACGGGGTGCGGCACCTGATTGGGAACCGTAGCCGGACAAACGGGCAACGAAACCTCGCTCAGCAGCCTCCCAGTGAACACAGCATGAACAGGACCAAACACAGCCTCAACGATCAACAGGGAATCCAGTAACTTACTGAGATGATTTACACAGAGCTTTTGTGATAGCTTTACTTTTTGCTAAACTGCTAACTGTAGCCTATCTGCCTGTATCTATGTCTGATTACTATGGTCGGTTAGCCGTGCTGCTAGCGGTCCTATTAGCTTACTCAGCCAAGAGCCAAACCCGGCAAGAAACCACCTTCTTACCGTATTCTCAGTGGTCAAACTGGCCTCTATTGGTCTTGGAGGCTGTGCTCGGTCCTGGTCCAGCTGCTGTGTTCACTCACTGGGAGCTGGAACCAGTCCGCACAGAGTCTGCATGATGGGGTGGGAACGTAAACACGCATTTGGAGCTACTGGCGACTGTAAACGCCAATCAATACCTGCGACACGTCCTTCCCTTGCTTTGTGTTTTTACAGAAACACGTACATATACCATAGACTGTATATAAAAAACACATATGGAGGTGAATAACACTGCGTTTTCTGTTTTATGGAAACTTTCTGCTTAAAGTAATCCCTTTGAGTAGTCCCTGATTTTTCAAAATGTACCTGTAATCTGATTATATCTTTATTTTCTATATTGTAACGGAACATGGTTACATTTTTGGCTTTAGAGTAGGCAGCAAAAATTGGAAGTCGATCAGACCACTTTTCTAGGAGGAGTTTGTTAAAGTACGGAGCCTGTAAATCGCTAAAAATTTAGTTTAGTCATCAAGAGGCTTTTTTGTACATCTGGACATGATATGTGTGCTACATACCTGCTTCGTTGAAGGTCACTTCAGCTATTGGTAAATATTGGCATGTATATGTTTTCAGGGCTCTTATCAAATGTGTAAAATTTGGTACAGATTTTATCATGTACAGGCAAGTTACAGCAACTTCCTGTGTCATGGCGACACTTCACTGCCTCGCCATCGACACGCCGTCAACCAAAAACTCACTTCTCACAACTTTACAACATCACATTGTCAATGTGTTGAGGGTTTTCTGGGACTGTTTTGAAGTTGATACAGTATGTCCAACCTGCTAGGAGCAATACTTCCGGTCATTTCCGGTTGCCAGAAGGTGGCGCTATGACTTTGAGTGAATATTGGCATGTTGATGTTTTCAGGGTGGCACTCTTATTATACATTTAAAATTTGGTCCATATGTGAGCATGTACACTGAAGTTATAACAACTTCCTCTTTCATGGCAAATCATCAGTTTTCGACGCCACGCCACAGGTAAGCTAGTCAACTAGTAATAACTGTTTGTACAACTTTTATTCGGTTTCATTAAATCCAAAATGGCTGACTTCCTGTTTGGTGTCGGGCATCGTTCTAAGAGGCTGTTTTGTGATAAACGTACTACAGAAATTTCTTACACGTAGGTGAAACTTTGGCCGGGGGCTCCTCTGTAGGGGGCGCTAGCGAGCTATTGCACGAGTTTTCGAGCATGTTCAGGCCCCCAAAATTGAGATTGCTTGCAGAAAAAAATTTATTCTTTCAGTTCCAATAATAGGCCCCTCACACGTTTAGTGCTCGGGATCTAAAAATTCCTTCAGTTCCAATAGGAATCTTGCATATTTCATGTCCGGGCCCTAATAATCAACATGGATTTCTCAAATGACAGTGTAAGATTTTTTACATTATCCTTTTTATTCAAACTTTGAGTAATGATTCAAGATGCACTCAACCATGCATCAACATAAATATCCACACAACACACTGTTGAGATGTATGAGGTGTGCATGTCAGCTCCTCTGTTAGCCTATAGGTGCCCAAGTTACCCATAATACTCTTCCACGCCTTGTGAAACATTTCTATATATCTTCAAAGAAAGAAAATCCGTGTGTAAATAAACAATTCATAACTCATCACTTGATTTGTGCACTAAAAAACACTCAAAAAGTAAAAGACAAATGTGCTTTGTGACCACTACTTAATCGTGTCAAAATGACCAAAGGAGTCATTATCTCACGTTGTAAATTGTCATCTGTATGATTTAACATCAAATTTGTTATCAGCAAGGCTTTCTGTGATATCCTGAATTCTTGTCCTGGGTTTTTTGAATGGACAAAGAAAGTCTGTATTACAAGTTACGTACTCCATATTCGCAGTTACTAAACCTAAACTCAAGATCATATCAGTTACTCTATGGGCCTCTCCATCACTGGATGAGTAAAATGGATGGATGACTAAATGTGTGGTGACATGACCAATTTTGTCTATGGTTACTGAGAAACAAGGGATGGCCCAACTTCCCGCAGGCTCAAATTAACCCACTCTTCCCTACTTGCATGCAATTCTCAAGAATGCAAGAATAAAGGTGTCTAAAGACCCAGAGCCCACGACAAATGCGTTGTCCAGTGAGTAGGCTGACCAGGGACAAATTCTCAGGCCATTTTTGCAGTCCGCCCCTGGCTTACAGAGAGGGGTGGTGCTGTGTGTGGTAGTCTGATCTCACAGCAGAGTACACACACTCTTCTGGTGACTCTCTCTTTTTCTTCATTCTTTTCACTTTTCTTGCCGAGAAATTCAGTGCTGCATAGTTTACTGCCTCTGCATCACAATCCTGCAAATAATAACTATAACTAATAACTATATCTATTAATACATATTTTATACAATATAACTCTGATATTAAGAATCGTCTGATCATCTGCTCTTGAGTACCAACAGTGCTCTTGTTGACATTCTATCAATGACTACTATGTAGCAATGGTGGAAGTTAACTGGTATGTATTAAATATAGGTGTCAAAGATAAAAGCACATAGGATACCAGCTCAGTTGACTGATCCATGGTCGACTTGTCATGTCCATGGTTACGGTAGGAACTCTTTGCTTCAGCTGATAAAAGCAAAAGTTTTAGAAAGTGTGTCTAAAACTTTTATCAGTGTCACAAGACCTCACACTTTACAGTTACACATTCACTTGTATGTATTTCATGCAGGCTGAGCATGATATAACTTAATGCTACTTGAATGTTATAAGGTATCATTTAATGTAATGTTATTAGTGTAACGGCTTTGTGTGATTTCAATGGGACAACACAAATTTGTGTTACTTCTTATCATAAAGTTTGTCAAATTTAAAACAGAATGTTTTGATAAATGTCAGTAGAATTTTAAGGTAGTAATTTTTAACTTTACCCATTTGAGTTTTTCCCTTTAATGGGACTTTACTATATTGTCCTGTTCTCCCCAGAGGTTGTAATAATGCATAGTCCGGACTCAAACCGGCAATCTCAGGGCGGGAGGCGGACGTGCTAGTGAGGAGGCTAAAAACCGTGGGCAATAGCGGCGGTTGCCAGTACGTCTCTTAAGGCATCGGGGACTGAGGTTTCTCACTGCACAGCCATTTGGCTTCCATTAGAACTGCAGTCCATTTATTCCAGCTTATTGTTATTTGTTAGTTTGCAGCACTTAGTTTTATATGTAAAACGTATGGTGAGGTCTTAAGATAATAATTTTAAAAGTAATTAAAAAACAGTTTATTGTATTTCTTTGATTACAACACAGTTTGTTTAAAGGGTTAAAAAGATTAGACACTCTCCCCTGCATACAGAACATTACTTTTAGTAAATATTAGTCTGTAGTGTTTAAATAATTATGTGGCATTTCCACTTTGACAGATGTTATATTGCAATTATGCAAATGTATGTTGTCCCAAAGAAGACACATGAATGGACGTTTAGAATAATCCATATAGTCTTGAAGGGAGTTCCAAATGCTGGAACATGAGCACAGCAAAATGCATGAAAAAAAATCCATGTACATTTGAGGAACCTACCGTTGTATTGTTCACAATCTCTCATTTGATTTACACAGAAAATAAGGGCGACAATCACAATCACACAGCAGGCCAACAGTATCCCAAGCACAATGACAACAGGGTCCCAAGTTGGTCCTGGAATTAGAAAAAGAAGACACATAAAACCAATTCAATGACTAAGCAATATTAAGTAATAACTCAAACCCAAATTGTTGTAATACTAAATTGTTATTGGCTGTTTAAGATACTGTCATGAAAAAATACTTCTACTCTGATTAACATTTGAGATCTGTGATCCTCTCTGACTTAAAGATGCAATTTGAAGGGGAACTTCTGCACAGAGATTTTTAGAAAAAGATATTTATCCATAAATAAATGCAGAGTAGTAACAATTAATTATTGATATTTGTTATACTTTTTTGCCTGGCTTAATGTATTAAATGTAAAACCAAATATTGAAATAGTTGTTAAAAGTATGTTCAAACTTGATAAGTGTAGAGCTTTTTAAAGCAGACAGCAGACCAGTAAGCTAATTTATTCCACTATGCTATATCTAAATGTCTGTCATGAAAGGACAATTGGGTGCATGTTTTAATCAAAAAACACAATGTTTTAATCTGACCAAATGTAATCAAATCTCACCTGCGTTAGTGGTTAAGATATATTAAAAAGTTCACAATTGAACATGAAGAATTTAAATACATACTTTTCTCTACTTTGGTTCCTTCACTAAACAGGATCTCTCCACATGTGACCACAGCACAGTAGTATGTCCCAGCATCAGATGACTTCTGTATAGTTTTCGACAGACTGTAGACACAACTTCCTTCTTCTTGTTCATCACTGCTGTTCTTGTTACTGTAAATTATGCTTGGATGGGATTCTCCTGATCCAGCTCTGAACCAGTACACACTGTATTCACATGGACACTGAGATGTTTTTCCTTTGCTCTTGGAGAGGAGTGAACACTGAAGAGTCACTGAGCCTCCCGGCTGGACTGATGCTGTCTCTGGACTTTGTTTCACGGTGACAGATTTCCGCTGACTTCGATCTAGTTGATTCAGTTAAAAAAGGCATCAAAAGCAATTCACAATCTCAGTTATTTGTATGACTTCAAAACTCAGGGGTGACTGTCAGGGCTATATGGAAAGTAACTTACCATTCACAGCTAGGAAGGTGCCATTAACAATACTCTGTGAATACGCTGCTCCGCTTTGACAGAAATATGTTGCTTCGTCCTCTTTGATGACATTTCTAATGGTGAGCAAATACTGAGCCGTCCCCTCTGTGACTTTGAAACGTGGGTTGTTAAATTGTCCACTAAGTGTTTGTCGGGTATAAGTTCCTGTTGCAACTGACTGGAATATATAACCAAGAGACTGCTTATACCATTGAAAGAATATGCCTTCCTTATTAGAAACTGGACAGTGCAAAGTAACATTCCCACCAACTTCAACCACAGTCAAAGAGATTGGGCAAGGATCATCTGCAGTTTGAATCAGGTCTGAAGAAAGGAGACAAACAAAAACTAATTTACAAAGACAAAACATTTAAAAAAAATTTAAAGTACCTTCCTTCAGAAAGATTATTACATTGCCTTTTAACAACACTTTAACACAGGTCAATATAAATAATCATTGTTTAAAGTTGGACTTACACACTGTACCAAGAAGAATCAAAGCAGAAAGTCTTCCAATCATTGTGGTAAAACAGCCTTCTCAAGCACAACTGATCCCTTCCTACCTAAATGAAGGTCTAGTCACAAGATCACTTTTACGTCTAGAAAGTGGAAATCATCCTGATTGGCTGAAATGCAAGAAATGCACTTCCTCCTAAAATTAGCATATAATATAATAATAATCCTTATTTGTAGAGCACTTTTCAAAAACAAGTTACAAAGTGCTTTAACAAGTGTAAAGAATAATACAAAAAAAGAGCATGAAAATTTAATATAAAATTAGTAAAATACAATAAAATAAAAGGGATAAAATAAAGTCAAATAAGATCGGGAAAAGCTCTCCTATAAAAGTATGTTTTAAGAAGGGACTTAAAAGAGTTCACTGACTCAGCCGACCTGATTTCCTCGGGCAGGCTGTTCCAGAGCCTCGGGGCCCTGACAGCAAACGCTCTGTCCCCTTTAGTTTTCAGTCGAGACTCTGCAACAGACAACAGACCTCTGCCCGAGGATCTCAAGGTACGTGCTGGTGTGTATGGGACTAAAAGGTCAGAAATATAACAAGGCGAGAGGCCATGAAGAGCTTTAAAAGTGATCAATAGAATTTTAAAGTCAATTCTAAAACATACTGGGAGCCAGTGTAATGAAGCTAAAATAGGAGTAATGTGGTCATATTTCTTTGTTCTGGTTAAAAGCCTGGCAGCTGAGTTCTGGACAGTCTGGAGTCGATCAATAGATTTTTGGGTTAAACAGGTGAAAAGGCTGTTGCAATAATCCAGGCGTGATGAGATGAAGGCGTGTAAAATGGTCTCGGTGTCCTTAAAAGTTAACATAGATCGAATTTTAGCTATATTTCTAAGTTGATAAAAACATGATTGAACAATTTTTGTGGTGTGCTGCTCGAAATTTAAATTACTATCAAACCAAACACCAAGGTTCTTTGCCACAGGCTTAATGTGATTTACTAGGGAACCAGCAGATGGCAGTATTTGATTTGCCATCTGCTGGGACCCGATGACCAGGATTTCTGTTTTGTCTGAGTTCAGCTGGAGGAAATTATTTGACATCCATTTTTTAACTTCACAAAGGCAGTTGTTAAGTGAACTCAGCATTCCAGGGTCTGTGGATCTGACGGGCAAGTATATTTGTGTGTCATCAGCATAAATATGAAAAGAAATGCCATGTTTATGGATAATATGTCCAAGGGGAAGCAGATACAAGGAAAACAAAATGGGTCCTAAGACCGACCCCTGAGGCACACCATATTTAACTGGACAGAATGAAGAGACATAGTTGTTTACAGACACACAAAACTTCCTATTTGACAGGTAGGATGAAAACCATTCTAGGGCAGTACCAGAGATCCCCACCCAGTGCCTCAGTCTGTCTAACATGATGTTGTGATCAATGGTGTCAAAAGCAGCGCTAAGGTCCAGGAGTACAGGACTGAGCACATACCTTCATCAGCAGACATTAAAAGGTCATTGGTGACTTTAAGCAGGGCAGTCTCAGTGCTGTGGTACTTCCTAAAACCAGACTGAAACTTTTCAAATATTTTGTTATTTTCCAGCACAGTGAGCAGCTGTTTGGACACAATTCTTTCTAGAATCTTTGCAATAAAAGGCAGTTTTGAAATTGGTCTAAAATTTTGTGGGAGGGAGGGATCTAAACCAGGTTTCTTTAAAAGTGGGTTCACGCAAGCCGTTTTAAAATAATCAGGGACACAACCAGTAGATAGGGAGCTGTTGAAAACAGAGATCAAATGGGGCCCAACAGAATATATTACTTTTAGTAAAAATTTTGTAGGTATTATATCAAGTGGGCTGGAGGACACTCTCATTTGTGATATTGTTTTTAAAAGCTCAGACAAGTCGATGGGATAAAACTGGTTAAAACTCTGTTGTTGCTGGTGAGGAACCTCTGAGTAAGAGGCCACGGGGGTAATAGAGGATCTGATTGACACCACCTTATTGGTAAAATAAGATAAAAACAATTCACAGTCATCATTACTTCCAGCTGAGGCACAAGGAGGGGTTGGGTTTACCAGCTGATCCACAGTCTTAAACAGAAACCTGGGATTGTGTTTATGTGTAGTAATGAGTTCAGAAAAATAGTGTGTTCTCGCATCCTTAACCATTTATTGTAGTTAATTAATAAATCCTTCAGACTGAGGTAATGGACTTGGTGATTGGATTTTTTCCATCTGCGCTCTGCTTTCCTGCATTCCCTTTTTAGGCTGCGAATGCTGTCATTTATCCAGGGTTGCTTACTAGCTTTAGACGTAGGCCTAACCTTTAGAGGAGCAGTAATATTTAGTGACGACAAGCAGATATGATTGAAGTGAGCGACCAGATTGTTGGTGTTGGAATCAGACAGGTGTTGGCTTTGGCTCTGAAAGACTGCGCAAAACTTTGAAACACTTTGTTCATTAAAGATGCGACAACACACGGAGCTTGGTGAGGCGGCATGAGTAACAGGCGAATCGCAGCTAAAAACAATACATCTGTGGTCAGATATGGTCATGTCCACTAATTCCAGAGAGGAAATGCTGACACCCAGGGTAAAAACCAAGTCCAGTGTATGACCACGGTTATGTGTTTGCCCTTTGACATGTTGTTTGAAGTTAAAAGAAGTGGCCATATTTAAAAAGTCAGTTGCATTAACATTGGTGGGGTCATCAACATGAATATTAAAATCGCCACAAAGAACAATTCTGTCATAATTTAAAACCAGAGTAGATAAAAATTCAGGAAGTTCTGATAAAAATCCTCCAGGCGGTTTTGGGGGGCGATAAATTATAACAAATATGATAGGTTGCAGCCCTCCAACTTTAAGAGTGAGAACTTCAAAGGAGCTAAATTCATCACAGCGTACTTGATGACATTTAAAATTTTTCCTATACACGCTCACTAGCCCACCACCACGACCACTGACCCTCGGTTGACTAAAGCAATCATAGTGAGGCGGACACAGTTCAGCTAGCTGGCTATAGTCATTCATTTGCAACCAGGATTCAGTTAAAAACATAAAATCTAGATTTGCAGACAAGATAAAATCATTTAAGATAAAAGTCTTACTTGAAAGTGATCTCACATCGAAGAGAGCCATTTTAAATGAGTTTGTTCTGGGTGCTGGAGTTGGTGCAGTTGTCCTAATCCTTAAGAGATTACTAATATTTCTGTGTGGAATGTGCACATTTCGGTTTACTGGTCTAAGCGTGATGATGACAGGAATAGAAGTCTGTGGAACAGCGCTGGGAGCAGACGGCTTTACATGCCAGCAGGTGGAGACAGTTGTTTGTGGCAGTGAGGCAGAGATCTGTTCAGTGAGCGGTGGTGTGTCCAGGTGTGCTGCATGAATGATTAGTCATTCACGTAAGTCATGTGTGGACCGCACCACATGCTGTATGTGCGCAGCTAACATTTCTATCCATGATGCATTTTCAACGATTCCTATACGTGCATATATTGTTTATTGTTGGGTTTTTTACTGTTACTGTTGTAACTATTATGACAAGGTAATTATGATTCAAACTGAGCTACTGTACATGCTGTCTTTCACATTTCCTGTGTGTTGTTCCCCGTTTTTTATGTGATATAAACCCAGCTTTAGCTACCTCTGATGTTATCTGTTCTTGCATTTGAGATATCTGTCACGATCCTGTCCTTGTCTGTGTTATATTATTTTGGCCATGCCTTCTCGGTGTTTTGATTTTGGTTCAATGTCTTTGTTCTTAGTCCTGTACTTTAGTTCATGTCTTTAGTGTTTACTCCTGGTCTTTTGTTCTCTGTGGAGCTTTGTGTATTCCCTTGTTCATTTACTGGTTCTGTTCAGCTCTCTTTGTACCGGTCTGTCATGTGTTATAGATTGTGCCCTGCATCTTGGCTCCTGCATCACAGCCCTGTGTCTTAGCTCCTAGTTTTGTGTCTTAGTGTTTTATTCTGGTCTGTGTTCTGTCTGTGTGGGTTACTTGGCCCCATGTCTGCCTGTCAAGTGTTCCGTCTGTTTCCCCAAGTTATCACTCTGTCTGCCTGCCTCTTTGTTCCCCTTTGCTGTCTCTGCCTGCCCGCCTGCCTCTCTCTGTCTTCCCTGCTATCTCTCTGCCTGCCTCGTTAGTCTCATGTCTGTCACCTGCGTAGCTCCCGCCCTGCTCGTAATATATACCTTGTGTTTCTGTCTTGCCCTTGTCGGGTCATTACCTTGTGTTACCGTGTGTTGTAGTGTTGTCCGCCCAGTCTCGTCTTGCTTGTCCCCCGTCAGTTGTTGGATTTTCACCTGTTCTGGATTTTTCTGTTGGATTACCCTGTTCGTTTTGGACTGTGTTATCTTCGATTACCTGAACACAGCTGCTCTTGTAAGTGTGCTCGCCTTGTGTTTATATTAAATTATCACTGAACTGTAACTGCCAGTCTACGTGTCCTGCATTTTGGGTTCTCCAACCTGCTCTGCCTCACCACCACAACCTGTGAAAATATCAACATTGTGAACATGTTTATTTACAAGCTAATAAGCAATTAAGTCTTCAAAAGAGTCTGTATCAACATCTTTGTAAAGGGTTTTCAAGCTGGTTTAATTTTATTAGCACTGTAATTACGGCCCGAGTACGAACCTTGCGAGGTCCCTGTTGAAACTGAAGAGAGTTCTTTTTTTCTTCTTCTACAAAGTAAGCTCAATTTTGGGTGTCTAAACATACACGAAAACTCACCCAATTTTGCACACGTTAGAAGTGGTGAAAAATTTCGTATTTTATGGGTTTCGCGCATGGGTGTGGTAAAATGGCTCGCTAGCGCCCCCTACAAAATTAGAAAAAATTTGTCCCTCTTCCACGTTCAACCTATATGCACGAAATTTTCTGGGGACTTGTATCATATCAAGGCGCACAAAAAAGCCTCAAGAACCCATACCCTAAACTCAACAGGAAGTCGGCCATTTCGGATTTAATTCTCATTTTTGGCGATATATACACTCCGTACTTTAACAAACTCCTCCTAGGGATTTAGTCCAATTGACTTAAAATTTCTGCTG